GCTAATGACCTTCACTAGCACATTTAGATATATACATGGGTTTACACTTCATATTTCTAACTTTATATAGAGGAATGATATATGCACACAAATAGAATATACACGTTCATGGGATAACAAGCTTTTCAATGATAGATTGCATGCCCCATTTTGTGTTAGGCATATTCATGTTCAAATGCATATTTCCATAAAGACTATGGGGCTCTAATGTTACCCAGGGCATAATGCAACAACCCAGAAAACCTGTAAGAAAGGCTATCTGGAAGAGAGAAGCAGTAGATAAGGTATACCTAGACTTCAGTAAAACATTTGATATGGTCCCGCATGACCTTCTTATCAATAAACTAGGGAAACACAGCCTAGATGGGGCTACTGTAAGATGGGTGCATAACTGGCTGGACAACCATTCTCAGAGAGTATTTATCAGTTCACAGTCATGCTGGAAGGGCATAACACAGGAGGTTCCACAGGGGTCTGTTTTGGGACCAGTTCTGTTCAATATCTTCATCAACGATTTAGCTATTGGCATAGAGAGTACGCTTATCAAGTTTGCAGATGATACCAAGCTGGGAGGGAGTGCAAGTGCTTTAGAGGATAGGGTCATAATTCAAAATAGTTTCTCACTTACAGAATGGGAAGCGAATGTCTAGGAAGGAGTACGACAGAAAAGGATCTAGGGGTTATAGTGGACCACAAGCTAAATATGAGTCAACAGTGTGACACTGTTGCAAAAAAAGAAAACATGATTCTGGGATGCATTAACAGGTATGTTGTGAGCAAGACACGAGAAGTCATTCTCCTGCTCTATTCTCCACTGATTAGACCTCAGCTGGAGTATCGTGTCCAGTTCTGGGCACCATATTTCAAGAAAGATGTGGAGAAACTGGAGAAGGTCCAGAGAACAGCAACAAAAATCATTAAAGGTCTAGAAACTTGACCTTTGAGGAAAGACTGAAAAATCTGGCCTTGTTTAGTTTGGAAAAGAGAAGACTGAGAGGGGACATAATAGCAGTTTTCAAGTACCGTAAAATCTCAAGTATAATGTGCACCAATGCATAATGAGCACCCTGACTTTTGAATCTTAGCATAATGAAAAAAACTGAACTCCTATATATAATGCGCACCCTGTTGTACATCAAGCTTACCTCAGACATTTTTCTTTAAAAAGGCCAGGAGCTGACCCGCCAGAACCAAGCCCAGCCTTGCCCACTTCCCGGAGGCGGCCCCGGGCCGCAGGAAAGCGGGAGGGAGGGATGCGCTGCTCCCACCTGCAGGCTTGCCCAGGAAATGTGTGCACAGCTCAGGGAGCCAGCGGCAGAGTTTGAAACCTGCCCCCCGCTCCCTAGACAGCTGCCCACGTGCTGCACCAAGCGCATGCCTGCCGCGGGAAGCCGCAGGTGCAGCCTGAAGGAGCCGGCCCCCTACCCAGCTGAGTTTGTGCCTGCCGTGGGGGCCCCCTGCCCAGCTGCCCGTACGCCGTGCCAAGGCCGGGCTGCCGGGGAGCCAGGGAGCTGCAATCTGGCGGTGCCGCCGGCTCCTCGCCTTGTCTGGGAGTCTGGTGGGGCACCGCGCTGAAGCTGGAAAGTTTCTGTGCAAAGGGGAGGGTGAGTTAACTAACAGAAAATCTCCTATGTATAATGCGCACCCCGGTTCTGACACGCTAAATAACCCGAAAAAAAAGTGTGCATTATACTCGAGATTTTACGGTATGTAAAAGGGTGTTAAAAGGAGGAGGGGGGGAAATTGTTCTTTTTGGCCTCTGAGGACAGGACAAGAAGCAATGGGCTTAAATTGCAGCAAGGGAGGTTTAGGTTGGCCATTACGAAAAACTTTCTAACTGTCAGGGTGGTTAAGCATTGGAATAAATTGCCTAGGGAGGTTGTGGAATCTCCATCACTGGAGGGCTGTGTCTAGACTGGCAAATTTTTCCACAAAAGCAGCTGCTTTTGCGGAAAAACTTGCCAGCTGTCTACACTGGCCACTTGAATTTCCGCAAGAACACTGACTTCCTACTGTCTGAAATCAGTGCTTCTTGTGGAAATACTATGCTGCTCCCGTTCAGGCAAAAGTCCCTTTTGCGCAAAGCTTTTGCGCAAAAGGGCCAGTGTAGACAGCTCAGATTTGTTTTGCGCAAAAAAGCCCCCCACCCCAAAAAAGTGATCAAGTGCGTCTAGATTGGCACGGACGCTTTTCCGCAAAAAGTGCTTTTGCAGAAAAGCGTCCGTGCCAATCTAGATGCTCTTTTCTCCAAAAGCTTTTAACGGAAAACTTTTCCATTAAAAGCATTTTCAGAAAATCATGCCAGTCTGGACGTAGCTGAGATGTTTAAGAGCAGGTTAGAGAGCCATCTATCAGGGTTGATCTATTTCTAGATGGTACTGGGTCCTGCTGTGAGGGCAGGGGACTGGACTCGAGGACCTCTCACTTTTAGTATTCTATGATTCTGTGATTAACCTGATAGGCTGGTAGTCAAGATTGCACATGCTTTCAGGAATGACTAGTCGTAGGTCCCCCTCAGTACTTTCCATCTCATACTGGCATACCAGGGACTGAATGTGCCATGTTTTTTGGTGTTAGAGCACAATTTCTGTGGCAGGTGCCATGTCTTTTAGGTACAAAGCCAAGCATATTGTTGGTGCATAATAAAGAATGCCATTTAGCCAATTGGCAAGTTTAATGTCCAAAGCACCAAAGGCTTGAGTGAGAAAGTGAAATGCACCAGATGTGAGGGAGAAGTGATGTCAGATGTGGAATTATAGTAGGAATAAACCCCAGAAGTGGAAGAAGTAGCTCTAAGACTCAATGAAAGGCTTTCCCTGACTGCTGACTTGCCATATCTCCACCAGCCCTTTGTTGTTGATTACTGAGAGAATCCAGAACCCCAAAAAGTAGATTATGCTCTTATTCCCTTTAATTCAAGCATTTAATCAAAGTAGATGGTTCCAGCTGGGAGAAGATATTTAATATTGTGTCTGGTATTTTTGATGCAATTTTCTTTATTTTCAAAATAAAGTATATTAAGCTCCATTTCCCCAACCACAGAAGAACCAACCAGCAGACAGTGTCCTTGCTCACAGCACTGAAACTCATTCAGCCAGCATGCTCCAAAAGTTATCTTCCCACGTACCCTTTTCCAGTGGTTCTCAAAGTGTGGTCTGAGAACCACTAGTGGTCTGTGACCATCTTGAAGGTGGGTCACAAGCTTGGGACTCACCCTGCCCCTCCCTGCAGTGGGGAGCAGCCCCCCCCCACAATGTTAGTGTGCCAGGACTGTCTCCCAGATGCAGGGAGGGAGGGAACCCTGAGCCTTGTGGGCCAGATCCAGCTTGCAGGGGGAGGAAGTAACTCAGCACACTGCTGCTCCCCCTCACCCCTGCTGGGGGAACAGCAGTGCAGGAGACAGCTCACCTGGAGCAGCAGGTGACAGTGCCTGGGGACTCAGAGCCAGGGAACCGCCCCTAATCACACTCATGCCCAGACTCTGTACCCCATCACCTTCACTCACACCCTCTCCTACCGAGACCCCACACCCCCATCCTGCTCCTGCACCCTCCCTCCCATCCAGACCTTGCACCTTCACCCTCTCCTGCAAACATTTTGTTAGCATGAGTGGTTGGCCGGTGGTGTATAAAAAGATTTCCATTGAGTAACTAGTGCCCTTGTCCAAAGTCAATAACTGTGAGGCCCTATGCCTACACGGTCAACATTTCTAGGTGAGCTCATATACCCTCTTTATCTCAGGGTGGGCTACTTAGACGTTTCTTACAGTTATCTCTTAAATGAGGGGTTGGAGGTCACAACAATTTAGATGTGGTTTGCCCAACACACATTCGGAGATTGGCCTGCTTTGGTTGATGGCAAAGAGTCGCTCCAACTGAAAGGGGGTGTCAGAGCTCTTTAGGCACACAGGACACCCATTGCTCTAGCTAGGTGAAAGTTCTCAGCCAAAGCTTGGCTTTTCTGGGGGAGGGGGTTTTCCTTTGGTTTTCTGGGCCAAAAAAATGCACATTTGGATTCAACAAACATTTTGTGATCTGAAACTCCTGAACTAGGTAGATCTTTTAGACTAGATCACAAGGAGATTCAAACAGAAAATGGAGGTTGCACCCTCCTCCCCTATGCCCAGTGGTTAGCATACTGATATAGGGTGTGGGGAACATCTTCACATCCCCACTCTAGAACCAGGGCTTGAAGTCAGGTTACGCCTTTTGTCCCTCACAGTGTTACCTATCATATCTGTTTGCTTGCTGAACCAGGGCATAGAATCCAGCCTGTCTGACTCATGAAAGACCTTCCCCACCCCCAGTCTCTTTTGAACCAAAGCCAATCAATAGGAAGACTTACAAAAAGCAATGAAAAGACAGGGGAAGGCTCACCTAAACCCCTCCAGACAAGGGCAACGGGGTTAAGGGAAAAGGTGAGATCTCTCTCTCTTTCTCGGTATAGCCTCGTGACCTGCCTTATTCAAATGAGTTATGATTTGTTAGCCTTAATGCTTATAATCAGATTTAAATTAGATTTAATATTGTAACTGTTTTCTTTGTTTGGCTCCTCTTGTGTGGTTACTACCTAGAAATAAATAACTTTCACCGTTAAGCTGGCTGCTTCTCTGTTTCTCTCGCTCTCCCTCCCCTCACTCCCCGAGGCTGTTGTTTTTGGCTTCCCTATTCGCTCTGCAACTGTGCTCCTTAAACCTAAGTTAAAGATCCCTGTAGCACCCAAAAATCCTGTAGGGGCCCATCAAGCAGATTCCTAGCAGAACTGTTGTGGTATGAAAGTGGGGATAAGGACATACTGAACCTGGGAGTGTATGAGGGAGGCAACTTTAAAGTGCTGTTTAACCCAGCCACTGAGTCCAAGGACACATGAAGGTCACAGCATGTGCAACCCAGCCTGCTGAGTCCAGGGACGTATAAGGGGGAAGCTTGTGGGTGCTAATTAACCAATCCTCTCAGACATCCTCTGTTAGTGGGTGTGTCTATATGTTCCTCTGATTCTAGGATGAGAAGAACCCAGCCTTGGGAGTCCTAAATCCTACAGGAAGCTCCATTGAGAGAGAATTGGCAGAAGGGGGAAGCAGAGAATGGTGAGTGCACAAGTAACACAAGCAGCACACTGATAGAATTATCAACCTCCCCTCTCCCCAAAGAGTAATAGGAGAGACACTTTAACAAAATGTATGACTGATTCCTGAGGTTTGACGCTTACTGTGTACAAGTGGGTACTTTTACATGAATGAATTGTAACATTATAGCAATCTCTATTATTAACGTGAGAGTGGGTGGGGGGGAAAGGACAATCAAGAGTACCTTGAAGGGAATTTAAAGAGAGGAAAAAAAGGAAAGGAAAAGTAATATGTGAACCAAGCACAAGAATTTTCACACGAATCAGCATTTGGCTATTTTCTGTTTTCCTTTGGGGAAACTTTTGCCCAGCAAATAAACAGACTCATTAGGACTACTCACAAGGAAGTCTGATCATTAGTTTTGTCAGGCAGGGGGTTATTTTTGTCTTGTTTGGGCAAGAGAGGGGAACAGATAGCACTGGAGTAGAGGTCACTGATGAAAAACAAGTTGAACAAAAGTGAGTTTCAAGGAGACATTGGGAAAACGCTAGGGTTGTTTGGTATACAGAAGCAAAAGCTCTTCTAGTCATAGGGAGCAGCATGAAATAAGTGTCCTGGAGGCATGAGTGGGAGAATGTGATGGAGAGAACGTAAGGAGAGAGGAACGTGCAGAGGATTGAATGAGAGAGGATGAGTAGGAGGAAAGTCAGAGATGAGATGTAGGCAGGAGCATGAAAAGTTTGACCAGCTGTGGAAGGAAACATAGTAGGGTGCCAGTGGGGGATGGGATTGACTGGAGCAGCAAGAGGAAAACATGACTTCAGCTGGAGCAGTTTTGATAACCTGAAGATCATAGGCCAGAAAGGATACAGTTACAAGTCTAGATGATGACTCACAATTTTAGCAGATAGGACAGAAATAGTGGCATGACTTATGGAAAAGTTATGGAAGCAATATGATTTGGCAAGAGTCTGGCTGTAGAAGGGAGACAGATAGAAGAATCAAAGATGATCCCACAATTATAAGCCTAAGTGATCGGGTAGAGGAAGCAGTTTTCACTGCGGGGGTGGGGCGGGTTAGTTTTTGACATGTGTAGCTTGAGAAACCTCTAGGACATCCAAGAAGAGAGATTGGAGGGACAGCAGAACTATGAATGTTTGGGCACAGCTCAGGAGTAGATTAGTGGACTTCTGAATCACCAGCATACTATGCACTGGTAGCAGAACCTGTGGTTATGGATGAGGTTACTGAGGATACGTCTACACTGCAGCACTATTTCAGCACACCCTGAAATAGCTATCCTGCCGCTTCACAGCAAGCCCATTATTTCAGACTCGCTATTCTGACGTCCCTGTAAACCTCATTCTATGAGGAGTGACCATTTTGGAATAGCACTTTATTTTGAAATATGGTGCTGTGTAGCTCATATTGCATGTGTAGATGCACCCCTACGGATTATGCACAGAGGAAGAAAGAACAACACTGAAGAGCAATAAGCAAGAGTGGGAGGAATGCGAGAAGTCAAAGAAACACAGGGAGAAGACCACGAGGGAGGTAGTAGTGTTCAAGGAGACAGGGAGCAAGGACAATACATATAGAAAGAGTATGCTTTTTTTGGTCTGGACTGGAGATAGTGGTATCTGCGCGAGGAAGGTGGAACACAGACCAAAGTCCCATGAGGAGAATGCTGGATGGGGCACTATAATGATGGAAATAAACAACTCACTCAAGGAACTTGGTAGCAACCAGGAGGGAGATGAGGCAGTAATTTGTCCCAACCAGCCTTTCCAGAGACAATTTTTTTCAGGAAGAGAAAGACAAAAGCATGCTTGAAGGCTGAGAGAAAAGAGCCAAAGGACAAGCAGAGGATAAGAAAGAAAGCAGTTGAGGACAATAGGTAGGCAGGAAGCGTGGGTAAGGGAATAAGAAGAAGATCTCTTACCCAGGGAGATCTCCATCTCAGAAAAAGCTATGGAAAGGAAAGGTGAGAGGAGGAAGGGGCAGGGATGAAGATTCTTGCCAAAATAATCTTAACTTTAATAGGCAGGATCCAGGGCAGAGTAAGGGAAGAGAATTTGGGAGAGGGGAAAGAGGGAGAATTTCCAGGGCTAGCAGTACATACAGGAAGGATTAGGATTAATAAACAAAGAACAGATTGGAACTGAAAGGTAAGAAGGCATATTTATAATGTGTGAAATTGCCATAAGCACAGGTCTTCCTTTAGATCTGCTTAGACAAGAAACAGGAGCAGAGACAGCAAACCTAGGTTGGGCATTGGAAGGGCAGAGAGGCAGTGAAAGAGGGTAAGAGTCAAGGGAACGGGGCAGAGGTAATGGCTGGGATCATGGTTTTGACTGAGGGAGGGGTTATAAGGGAGAAGTAAGGGGCTGAGCAGCAGAGAAGTCATACAGGCGGATAGTCTGGAGTCTGGAGAGCTGTGACTGACAGGGTTGACACCATGTGAGCACCAACAAGCGAGCCGTGTGGAAATAGCTAAGTTGGCTCTGGAAGAATGGGAACTCAGAAGAATCAGAAAACACGCCACTGAAGAATATAGGCAGAGGCAGACGCAACCATAATGCCACTCCATGGCACTTTTTGTTGTTCTTTTCCACTACTTAGGTTCTGCCTCCCACCGGGGTCCCTTCTGCTATTTACGACCTCTCACTTTTTTGGCAACACTGGGCATTTCTCCAGTTTGCTCTTGTCAAGTGATGATCATATGGCAAGAGCAAATGGGCAAATGCCCAGTGTCGCCAAAAAAGTCAGGATGGCCAGGACAGCGCTTAAAAAATGGGGACGGGATGTATGGTCACCCTTCCAGAGCCATATACCCACCATTGTACTTCCCTGACATCTTTAATAGCACTAGCATTGCTGTGTGTGCCAGACTTGCTTCAGCCTAACCATAAGGGCCTTGCTTATGCCTGATTTCTTGGCATGGGGATGGGAAATGTCACCCTGTATCCCTACCTCCTCCATCTGCAGGCTTGCTCTTCATGAGCATAGTTCAATGCTCCTTGTGGTCACTATCAAAAAGTGAAGGTGTTTCTGGTTATGTCTCTGAGACACAAGTGTTGGTAGAATTCAGGGGTTTCCAGAGGGTGTTAGCCAAAAGTGAGTCTCAAGCCAGTCTACACTAGGGGGCAATAACAAACTAAGGTATGCTACTCCAGGTATGTGAATAGTGTAGCTGAAGTCGACCTTAATTCAAGTTACCCCAGCATCTCCACTGTGGGGGGAAGTCAACAGAAGAAGTTCAGTGGAGTACCAGAGTCAACGGGAGTGTGATCAGCAGTTGATTTAGCAGGCCTTTACTAGACCCTCTAAATCAACCATCAGGAGTTCAATCCCCCACAGCACTGACCTTCCCAGTAAGGAAGGTTCAAGTCTCTGCTCCTTTAATGCTGTCAGTCAACTCTTCTGCATGTTAGATCAGAGTGTGAGGAAAAATGAGAAGTCGCTGTCTAAGAGCTGATAATAAAGCCTATTTCTCCCCCATAACCATGCTGAATTCCGCCCACACTTAATGTTTCAGAGAACTCATTACATAACCAGAAACCCCCTTCACATTTTGATAGTTGCCCAGCAACTCCCCTCCCAGTCTTCCTGAAGGTTTCCACAGAGCTCCAGGTAGCTGCCATTTGAAACTGGTGACTCAACACATAAGGAAACTCATTGTCTCTGGCAAGCAACAAAGCATTGCTCACTAGTTGGACACGACTTCTGCTTTTATCCAGTCCATCACTGCAGGGCAGGAAGTACTTTGGGATAGGAGCAGCAGCCACAAAAAAAGTCAAGTGTACAAAAGCAGTGGCTTGAGAAATAAGACGCAGGACAATATAAACAAACACCAGCCAAGACAATGTCAGGCCTGCCTGCACACCTGAACCCTGGCCCGCCTAAAACAAGGTTTCATTTGGTAGCAGCTGTGTAATTAGCACAGTTTATGGGCACAGTTAATACCTTACCTATGCTACATAAAGGGGCCTTGCTTTCATCTTCTAGGGCAGAAGTGTCATAGCTAGCTCTCTTTGATCTTGTCTACACTAGACTTGTTTTCGGAAAGTTTCCAATTGTTCCTACCATCAGTGCATCTCCTCTACCAGTGGTAGCAATGGAAAGGCAGCAAGTTAAGATAAGATGCTGCTGGCTGCAGCTCCTAAACCTCTCTGTGTGATCTAGGCTTGTTCAGGGCAAGGTAAGAAAACATACAAATTACAACGATGTCGGGAGCCACATGGATCCTCATCTACACTCTTGCTCTCTCCACTGCAATCAAACCTGGATCTGAAGCAAATGGTAACAGTGAGGAAGCGTTAGGAAAACAATCCTTGTGTAAGAAACTAGGAGTGAAATCCTGGGCCCACCTTGTCAGTGACAAAACTTCTATCAACCTCAGTTGGGTCAGGATTTCTCCTTAGATAGTCTTTAAAAATATATGCACTAGTAAGGCAAGATGCACATACAAACAACTCAGTTAAAAGAAAAACAGCATTTGTCTTATTTGTTATAAACGGACTGTGATTAACGTGGAAATAATTCTAGTTATAATAAAATCAACGCACCAGATTTTCAAGGGGGTAAATCATTCCTTTGACTTCAATAGAGCTCTTCCCATTTATACCAGATGAGGTTCTAACTCATAATTGATTTAATTGATAGATGGGATCAGACATTTTTGTCCATGAGAAGACATTGAATTAGGATGAGTATTCTAATAATTTCATCAGCAAAGTTATTGTATTTGATAAACACAGGCTTGATCCTACAGTGACTCTCATGCAAGCTGTAGTGGGAGAGTACTGATAAAGATTCAGAGCAGATCACAGTTTAGCAGCTTAAAATGACTCTCTCTCATTCTTTCAAGATTCTTACATTTTAACACTGGGAAATGCAGACATGTGACATTTAGTCAAAACAAGTCAAAATACTCATGAACAAACAGCTATTAAGGAAACACACAAAAATGCTCACTTTTAGTTAAAAAAATGAACACAGTGTGCATATTAAGTACTCAT